ATATGTATTGTTTGTATAAATTGTAATAATAATATTGTAATAATATTATTATATTGTAATATTGTAATAATAATAATAATAATAATAATAATAATAATAATAATAATAATAATAATAATAATAATAATAATAATAATAATAATAATAATAATAATAATAATAATAATAATAATAATAATAATAATAATAATAATCTGAAACGGGCAACCGATCCAGGCTTGCTTAAGTAATTACGTAACGTCCAAACCTTTTTAATTGCAACATAGATGTTTATGCCTTTTTAAAACTCTTTTTATTCTCTTCGTTTTACCTTGAATAAAAGGAAGGACTGCCAGGCCCTTAACATTCTATTCCTTTGGGAATATTCGAGACCTTTCTTAATTTCACACAGCATTGCTTTTGGATAGCCGTCCTTATGTAAAGAATTAAACACATAAATCTCTTCTTTCTGTCGACTATTGTCGTCAGAACAAACCTCTGCCGCTCTATGACGTGATGCTTTCACCACTGATCTCGTGTGCTGAACAGGATTATGGGATAAAAAATGGCAAATATCTGTCCGAATGTGTTGTCTTCCTATAAACAGCCGTCCGGGTCAACAACAATGAGCGTGTCCAAAAATGGTAAATCGTATCCATGTCCGTATAGCGTTCGTTGGTAAACTGTATATAGCTCAGCAATAGAAACACCAGGCGGAAATCGAATTCTAGTCAAAAATATTATTGGCCAGCAAGTAATTCGTAAAAGAGGCATATACAAAAAACATTTGGTATATAAAAAATATTTATTGAGTAACCTTTCGTCACATTACAAGCGACATCAACAGACTAAATACAGTAAAGCTATTTCATCTATTATATAACCAATTTGAAAAAATATATGATATAATTACAAAGGGCTAAAAAGTAAAAATCAGAAATATACGATGTTCGTGGTATATTGACATATATACAAGATCGATACTGAGATTAGTGAACGATTTACGCCCATATTTTAAAAGCTCACTCACACTCACACTCAATGAGTGGAGTTTCAATCTGAGCTTCTCTTAGGTGTCAATGCTGTTTTTGAACAACTGGAGGGTTAGTGTCGTACTTTCTTAATACGTGACTACTCATCCTCCAGCTATTCAAAAAGAGCATTGACACTCAAGAGAAGCTCAGATTGAACCTTCACTCATTGAGTGCATGTGAGTGAGCTTTTAGAATACAGGCGTTAGATTAAAAAAGGAATGTCAAGTGTATGGTTCGCGTCAGTGTTAAAATATGTTAGTAAATCAACAAGAGGAAACACTTACTTAGAAGAGTGTTATAGGAATAGATCGAACATTATTATTAAGCCATTGTTTAGTTTGAGCAATTAGTAAACTTTCTTTTATAAGAATATCATAGTTAGAATTACCTGATGTAACAATTTTGAAATCAGTTGGTTCAATTGGCTTTGTCTGGCAATCCTCTTACGTGTGTTTCAAAATCTAGTATTTCAGATCATTCTAGAGAAGCCGGTCATCAAATTGAACCAAGAGATTTCAAAATTGTTACTTCAGCTAATTCTAACAATGATATTCTTATTAAAAACCTACTAATTGCTCAAACTAAAGGAAGGGAAAGATTCTAGTAGGGATCGGGAAGGGATTCTGGTAGGGATCAGGGAGCTAGTGATTCTGGTAGCGATCAGGGAGGGATTCTGGTTGGGATCAGGTAGGCATTTTGGTAGGGATCAGGGTGGGATTCTGGTATAGGGATCAGGGAGAGATACTGGAAGGGATCAGGGAGGAATTCTGGTAGCGATCAGGGAGGGATTTTGGTAGTGGTTTTGGAAGGAGTGCTGGGTGATATTAAGAAAGGTCTTGAACAAAATAAGATCGCCAACGTCGTGAATGCCCCAAAGGAAATGAACTTTAAGGACCCAGCAGTCCTTCCTTTTATTAAAAGTACAAAGGAGAGAATAAAAAAAAGTTTTAGAAAGGCATAATATCCACGTTGCAATTAAACCGGTTTCGACGTTGCGTGACCCTTAAGCAAGCCTAAAGATTGATTGCCCTTTCAAATCAAACGGGACTGGTGTATTTGGTTACGTGTCATTGGTGTAAAGACTTGGACGTGAAATATGTTCGGGAGAATTTCCGTGCGTTGGGTTCAAGAAAGAAAGAATACCATTGAAGTATGAGAAATGTTAAAGTGAAAAAGTCAGCGTTGGTAGATCATGTATTTACTAGAAATACATGCATGCAACAACCTCTAACCCACATTTTCCACACTTTGCTCGCGTCATGTTAGCCATTTGCATGGCAACACGATAATTGTTTTCTTAGTTTTTTGTTCAAAACGGCAAAAATATAAATGAATATTTTGCTTTTATTGTGTAAACTGTCAATTTTTAATATATATAAAGTTGGTTGTTATTTTGCTTTGTATGGGCATTATTATAATGCAAAATTCAAGACGAAACGCTTCGTAAAACGTTTTTAAATGTTCGTTGAAATTAACTGCCGATTTAAAACTCTTCAACTTTAATATTACTCCTAATTTGTAATGCAATAAATTTAAATCATACAGGTAGCTCTTGAAAATAATTTGCATCTCTCTTTTGTAAAAAAATAAAAATGATCATCGTGTTGCGTGGAATAACACAAAGATCATATGTAAGTCATGGTGGAAGAAGGCATGGGTAATTGAGCAGCAGGACAATGCCATTGCCAATAGATACAATGACATAACCTTGCCTGAGATATACACAGTGTTGATTGTCAATGATCATTAGAAATTTAAAATGTTAAGCCTGTTATAGCGTATTCATAGTTTTTTTTACATATATAATTTTATTGTTATGCATTTGCATACAAACAGCATTTAAGCCAATGACTATTCAACTTATTTATCCTGATGATGGCCGTTCAGTCCCAAAGCTCGAATTTGATAAAAATAACTTTTATCGCTTCCCTGCATATATTAAACCACCATCGGTAAACTGTTTGTCAGATTGAGCTCGGTTTTCTGTGCTGCCGAATACTACAAGACCCGTCAAAGCTTTTATGGCATAATTATGGCTTATGTGCCAGGTTGTTAGCACAAAGCCGCTTTATTGTTTTAATCAATTTTTAATAATTAACAAGAAAAACTATTAATTAATAACTATATCACATTTAGCACATGCACAGAAAAGGTGGGGTTATTACTAACGCCACATGTCTCCTTGGGATAAAGGAGACACACCCCACCCCAACCTGACAAACCGTTTGCCGATGATCTAGAAAAATATCTACATATACTGATACCACATGTTACGAAAACCTCATTCTATGTCAGTTTGAATGCACATGCTATTGTCAGTCAAAAGCAATGAACTTGCACTGGTCTACATAATAACAGTACTATCAATTACCTAGTTAGCTATAGACCCATCGCACATGACGTCACAGCGCCGGTGACGATGCATCTGGAGGACAAATTAGCAATCTATGCATAATATAACTTTTGTAAACAAAGCAAATTTTGTAAAAGTTTATAATAAATTTGTTTTAATGTGGTTAATTTTTGCGCTGTATGTGGTTGTTGTACCGGAACAGATATTAGGGAGTTTACGATCTGCGACGCGGCCGGCTCAACGACGCGGTCTAAATTTTAGCTCAAGAATGAGCGCTAAGCAATTCGATTAGTGTAATAAATATTTGACTCTTTCAAATAACCTTACAAAATGCTACGTTCGGCTAAAGCGATGCAATGTTTGCTGTAATTTCGACTTTTAGTAACACCTCTTGTGTCGCATTAAGCTTTCGCGTTGCCTGGAAGACGTAAAAATGCTCTTTTAACGTTGTGTTGAGAATGACAACGCGGTTGACAATACTCATGGGACCACAAATTATTGACAGTTTTTGTCTTGCATGATAAATTTCTTTGTAAGTTCTTTGTGGGTTTGCATGGCGATAAAACACATAATACTATTGTTTGTGGGGACACCAAATTACTTTGTTTTGAAAGCGCGTCGTCGAGGCGGCCGCGTCGTAGATCGTAAACTCCCTATTGTTAGGGAGCATCTGGAGGACACTCTAAGGTTTGTGACGTCAGTGCAATGGGTCTATACAAGCTTCGATTGAAATAAACGCTATCAGCTGAAATGTTAATCATATACCCTGTGTCAGTTCAGTATCCAACCTTTGACGCCAGAGGCAGAGGCGATAAAATACTGTATTATACCATTTTTTTAAAATATCGTCGGCTGAAATATAAACCTTACCCCTGTGTCAGTTCAACATCCAGCGTTACGAGTAAGTAAGATAAAATACCTAGGTAATCATCAGTTTCGTGCGAAATAAACATGATCAGCTGAAATGTGAACCTTATCCCTGTGTCAGTTCAACTTCCAGCCGGCATTGACGATTGCAAAAAACAAAACATTTGTTGTGCACACTGACACTTCTATTAACAAACTGGATAAAGTAAATTTAGAAACGTGAATTGAGGTTATTTAACAATTACACAACGAAGCTGAGTTGTCTGTAAATGACTGAATAGTCAACGAGGCGAAGCCGAGTTGATTATTTGCTCAGAGACAACGAGGCTGAGTTGTCTAATTGTTTTAGTATAAACCACAAAAAGGAAACGGAATTTTTCACTTGATTTTTATGTAAAGTAGTAACTTTTTAACGAAATTAGCGTTTAAATGGCTTCCTTTGGCGACATTACGCCTCGACCTTGTTGACAACTAAACAAGGTTACATTACAATTATACACATGTTAAATAACATCGTAGTTTAACACAGCATTGTAATGCAGATGGATTGTCCCGTCTACCTCTAGCAACAACTGAAGATAAAGAAAATCAGTCTGTTGACCCGGTTAGTATGTTGGCTGTCACTTGCCAGCAAGTACGCAAAGCAACCAAACGAGATGCTACCCTCGCCCAAGTGTATGAGCATGTCATGAAAGGCTGGCATGAAAATAAATACCCCAACCGCAACAGTTTTATTCTCGAAGAAACGAACTAACTGTGCACCAAGGATGTATTATGTGGGAGAGCAGAGTTGTCATTCCCACAAAGTTACGAAGCGAAGTGTTCATGACGGTGTGGTTAGAATGAAAGCTCTGGCTAGAAGTTACGTTTGGCGGCCAGGAATTGTTTTGGAGATTGAAGGGCTAGCAAAAGGATGCAGTGGTTGCCAGCGGGTTCAACATGCCCCCAAATGCTCACCATTAGCCCCATGGGAGTGGCCATCTACCCCCTGGCAACGTATTCATACCGATTTTGCAGGACCATTCCTGGGAATGATGTTTTTAGTGATTGTTGACGCTCACACAAAATGGCCAGAGGTAATAATCATGCACTCGAAAACAACCATCTCCAAAACTGTCGAAGCCCTGCGAACAGTGTTTGCTCGAAATGGGTTACTAGAACTACTGGTTAGCGATAATGGCCCTCAATTCACTGCAGAAGATTTCCAGCTGTTTCTAAAGAAAAACGGAGTTAAACACGTAACTTCAGCACAATATCATCCAGCCACTAACGGCTTAGCAGAAAGATTCATTCAAACCATGAAACAATCTTTGACTTCAATGAAGGAAGTCCTTGGCTCCACACAGACGAAACTATCCAAATTCTTAATGAAATATAGAAACACACCACACAGAACGAGTGGTGAAACACCATCAACTCTCTTCATGGGACGAAATTTACGCACACGGTTAGACTTGATCAAACCGAACATTCGAAAGCATGTTATAGAGAAGCAAGTCAGCCAAGCCAAACCCAATGGTGTTATTGCTGGTAATGTACGTCAACTATTCATTGGGCAGGTAGTTAGTGTCAGAAATTACAGAGGGAAGGAAAAGTGGATTCAAGGAATTGTGCGTGCTAAAACCGGACCAGTGTCATACCAAGTCGAGATTGCACCAAATGTTATCTGGAAGAGACACATCGATCAACTACTTGCCTCGGAGAACATAAAGGACACTCAAGATCTCGAACCAGTTACAGATATTCCAGGTCTGGCCAATGAAAACTTTAATGCTGAAGACGAAACAGCCGAGGACATACAAGACCAACAGGACACTTTAGAACCAAATCAAGAATTGGATGAAGTAGAACAACTTGAACAACGATATCCTGTCAGAATTCGGCATCAACCAAATAGGTTAGGACTTGATAATTAAAATTAGTACTTGTTATGTATATGGTGCGAACATATTATGGACGCCATGAAAACGATTATATTTTGTTAACAATGTTTACGTGGGGAGAGATGTGGTGTATGACCTATGATGCTTTGGGATCATCACCACGAGACACGATAGATGTTTTGGACACAAATACCCACTATATCATATAAATACAGTGAAAAGCATAGACACGCATGCACCCCCAGATATCTGCTTCGTACTTCTTAATCTAAGACAAGTTTACATGCATTCGCGAATCGTGGACAGAATGTGTCAGCAGTATAATTAATATCAAGTGGGATTATCTCGCTTTGCTAAGTCACAGAAGATTAAAGTCACGCAACGGCGCAAGGCATGTTCTGCTCTGGTCAAAAATATTTGATCAGGTTCCATATTCTTGCCAGGGTACATTCAAAAGTTGAACGAAGCCATTGTTGCTTTCATTGATCTTAGATCAGGCGCCTACGTGAGGTCTACGTATCAAAGCTGAAACAGAAAAGTTAAACGAAGCAATTCGGTTGCTTGCTCTGATCCTGTAGCGTGTTGTTTTGGCCTTTGGGAACTAACTGCAGAACTAATGCAAAACTAATGAATTTGACTAAAAGGAAACAATATGGTATCTTACAATATGGCTGAAGTGGAGAACAGGCCATCTGGCCATAGAATATAACATATTTCCAGTACAGTTATATAACTTTTTTAAAAAACATTGTAGATGGAACAAAACACAAAATAATGGCACCTTTCAAGGTTCTCCTTAGGAGGTAATCGGTAAAACTATAACCGTCTCCATAAACATTGAATCCATTTCCACCTGGCGAATAATGGTAGACTGTATATACTCTACGTCACTGTGACGATGTTACTCGTTGAAAAGTATATTTACCTGTTTCATTTGCGGTAAATAAGCAGAAGCCTGACCTTTAAATTTATACAACTGGATGATATGCTGTATTAAAAATTGAAATATCTTAATGGTTGGTCAACTTATAATGTAGCTATCAAGTGGTGTGTACTGTTGGATAATGCTGAAAAGTAAATATTGGAAAATAAAACTGCAGAAATATACACGATTTCCATCTGTCAGCGACCAATTAAATATTTCACATTAGGAACAAAAGATGTAGTATATGGAAGCCCGTGGAAGTTGAAAATTCAGAATCTTATGGAACTTTAATGGTGCACATATCTGGACGCTTTTCAGTTAATGACAGAAGATATATTTATCACAATTTTGGACACATGAAATAACACCGGCTGTCTTCAAATAAATGATGAATGTACTGTATCCCCAGTGAAAATAGGCCGTATTCCGTGGCCCAAAAGTCGCTTATAAAACGCTTATTTGTTGGCCCCCTTCGCCACTACTTTAAATTTACATGCATCTATAGATTTTTGTACGTTGAGTACGAATTCACTTGTTGTCACTCGCATAAACCTGAAGTTTTTTTGTATTTTACGATCAAACATCAACATTTTTTATTAAAATTTCCTCCATTTTGTTCAGGAAACTTCATGTTATATACAATTATTGTACTAGTCCAAGTCCCTTAGCGGGGAGGGGGGTTGCACGCGGTATTACGGATTTTTATCATTCTTTGGAGGAAAATATACAGAAATAAATAAAAATATACTGTTACATGTTTGTAAATAATCAGGAACTAATTTACCATTCTTTATTGCACCAAGTTTTGGGTTTTTTGCCACATCTTGATGTGAAATTGCATAGACTGTCAGCCACAAAGACTCACTTGTCCTTGGTACTGTTGTTTATTTTATTTATTATTATAAGTAATAGCAAAGTTGCCCAGGTTTCTTTTGTTTCAACATGGTCGATTACTAACTAATCGCCCGTTGGCAAGGGTCACACCCTTTGTCTCCCTGCCGAATACGCATTATACTGTATAGGCAAGTGCCTCACGCACATAATTGGCAGCAACAGTTAGCTCAGAGGCGTCAATAGTCTATCGTCCGATCCCTGAGTTGTTGCATCATTTAAACTAGAAATATATGTATGCAACAACCGCTCGCCTATATTCTCCAAACATTGTTTCAACATGAAGTATTCGTAATTACGTCAACACTGAACGCAGGCTCGGGTTGCGCACGTCATGTAAGTGATGGCAACACGATAATTGTTTTTGAATTTTTTGTACAAATCTACAAACAAATTATAAATGAAATTTAAACACTTTTCACTACAGAATTATCAATTTCTAAAATATATGAAGTAGTTATATTGTGTTTTTTTTCTATGGGCTCAATTTTAATGTAAAATTCAAAACGAAACTCTACGTAAAACAATTTTAAATGTGAATTGAGATCAACTGCTTTTTGCCGATATTAAACTCTTCAACTTGAGCTTCAACTTTATATTACTCGCACTTTGAAATGAAATAAATTTAATTCGTACAGGACGCTAATGAAACTAAATTGCTTTCCTTTTTATCATGAACTTCGTTTATCTTTTTATCTTTTTATGATCTTCGTTGAACTTTTTATCATGAACAAACGTTAATTCAACCAAGAAACTTTCGCATACAATGCATAGGAAAGATTTAAACAACAGGAACAAAGTGGATAATAATAAAAAGTCACACATAAACAATTGAAATTTGATTGAGGTCAACTGCTACTAATGGGCTATTATTAATGGTATATTTGTGTTAATAAATTATCTAGGTGACTACAGTTTAAAATAGGAACGTTTGGAATGCACACTTGGCGCAGCTATGATTGTGTAAGATGCGAGTGCAGATTATTACTAATAAAGGAAGTAAAATTTACTGAGAATCATTCAAAAATATTGGCACACATGTTTGAACAATAACACCCATGTATTTTATGTTTATTTCTGTAAAAACGTTATAATATATGTAACAAAACAACTTGTCAGTAACTATATGTATATTTATAGTGCGAATATGCATGCAGTTAATTATTGAAGTAATGAAATTGCAACACAAAAATTCATAATCATTATGAATAGACCTAAACGTTGCACAACAACAATTATTCTCATAGCTGTGGTTATCAGACGTACAGTCAGTAGAATGTGGTGAATTTCGTAGTCTTTTAAATTAAGCATCAAATGGACATCGAAGACCAATTAGATAACGAGTCGCTTCGCGATCGCCAAGTTAGAAGGGTTT